GATGTGGTCTATTTCATTATGGAACTGTCCACCAGGTGACTCCCATGTTCATTTCGAATGAGAGTGCTTCTACACGCCAAAAACTTTAAACAATAAAACCTAAACCTAAACCCAGAAGAGCTTAAGCAATTATGTAAAAACACTCTTGCATAAGAAATAACGCATGACGATGGATACAGATATAACTACTATGTGATACTTCTGTCAAGGGAAGCGAGAAGATTATTGAGCGGTCAACTACACAATAGATTGTTATGGCATATCGGTGTATTGGTCAACAATCCCCCACCGGGATACTCTACCGAGGGCTAGGCGTGTGAAGGGAGCCACGCAGTGAATTATCGGGACATAATCTAAAAAGGCCTTCAGACAGGATTGTCGAATCCATACTCCTCTTTTTCCCTTCGCCCCTCTCCCGATGCCAGTCCTGCCACCCGCCATTAGTCCTCCCTGCCGCCTGCATCTTTATCGTTTGAAAGTCTCGGATCCCCACGTCCAACGTTTTCGCGCAAGTCCACTGGACGGAGACTATACGTGCTACTTATTATTAGTGTTCCCAAATTGTCTTCTGCCTCTCTTTCAAATTCGAGCGCTCCAGGTGTAAACTCATCAAAATTAGCAGTTTTCGCGCAAGCCCCGTTCCCAGTGGGCGGAGTCCACATGCGCCACCTAATATTAGTGCCACGAATTTCCATCTACATACCTACCAAATTTGATAGTTCCAGACTCACACCAACAATTTTCGCGCAAGCTCCGCCCACAGTGGGCGTCCACAGTCTACACCTGCGACTTGCCATTAGTCTTTCTATCCTGCCTTCTCCACCTCTACTGTATTTGAAAGCTCCAGGTCCAAATTGGTCCAAACAAGCCAATGGCACGTGCCGTGTATACTCCGCCCCGGGGGGCGGAGTATACACGTCACGTGCCATTAGCGTCACCGCTTTACCGCATAAATCCCACCTAAATTTGAACACTTTAGCCCCAGGAGAACAAGAGTTCTAGATTTTCGGTGAACCACACTTTTTGCTTACGAGCCGCCCCTAATGGGCGGAGCCTAGCTTGGGTCGCGTGTTTTCAGGTAGTTCGGCCCATTCCACAATTGTTCCAACCTGGCCTAGGCTGTTCCACTTCAATCTTCAGAAGGCGCAATAGAAGATGGCTACAAACGGACAAACATACTAACAGAAAAACAGACCGATAAATAGATCTTCCACATATAGTGAGGATAGTAGAAGTAGAACATGTAGTACATAACAACTATACTTTTAGTGTTTTACTGAAATGATACTACCCTCAAAGAACTTTAGAAACTCGCCAAACTAATTATACACAACCAACTAGAGGGATGGTTTTGAAATCAGTAGATTTCTCCACCAGAAACCACACTACTTCTTTTTCGAAATGCACGTTTACTGAATGATAATAATATGGTATGTGATGATATATAATATATGTCTACTGAAAGAAACTAGTGATTTTTTAGCTGAAATAAAGTTTTATAACTTCAAAATCCCTGGTATCCTTGTTTCCGGACGTTTGCGACAGTGCCTATACAACCGAAATAAGACCGATTGCCTACTAAGGCGCTGCAGGTGTGAGAAATAACTACCGCCAGCGGCATTCATATAAATAGTTACGATTTAGAGCTCATTCGAATATAGCATCCTACAAGAGACCAAACATTACCTGCAAGCTGACAAATACCCATGCAGCATTTAGTCCTTCTTCTTTCCAGACTTTCAAGGTTTCGATGATTTCCGTCGCGATCCGACTCTCTTCCACCAATTCACGAGGCAGATCCCTAGTATACACCTCAGCATCATGATACGTATCCACCACTTTATAAGGCAGAACCATCGTGAAGCTTCTGAAACAAGAAAGAAAGGTTTCAGTGGTGTTGGGTAAATAGCGCTGAACTCACAAACGACAGAATCCAAATGGAGCTAAAGCATAATGCTGAACTTACATACCCATACTACCATACCCGTTCTTTACTGGGCTTTTATTCTTGGCTCTTCAGGTCTAAGTGGTAATAAAATTGTGTTTGTTACGAAATCATCGTAACGAAATAGCAGTCGCTGTGATTTTCGAAATATCGATTGACAGAAGAAACGCGCGTCTCTAACACGAGGCTTCGAGGGCGACTGAAGATAGAAATCGATCGATAATCAGTCCAGTGCAGAAGGAGACCCAAATGATTACTGGCTCATGGGTTTTTTACTATTCAGAACTTTCGTACCCTAGATACGAACAGAAACCTGACCATTCTCAGAAGACCACTCAGAAACTACTAATTTACGAGAGGAATATACAATGATTCTTGCTACTTTGACAAAAGCACCTAGACTACAATACGTATTGATTTTCTGTCTAATCGAAATAAATGTTAAATTGTAAACACGAAGTGACTTAGATGAAATATCGCCCGCAGATTATGTGCAAAGGGTATCAATGTGAGTACCAAAGGTGATTCAGTAAATGTAAGTAACAGTAGCAGTAATAGTAACAGTAACAGTTCAGTAAATTATGATTACACCTCAAACTGGAACAAGTAAATTGTTATTTGGCAACTCTACAGTGATAAAAGTTAAGCACTATTATGTTAATCACGACTGAAAAATTCGGTGCTCAGTGATGAGTAGGGTATGCTAGTAACAATGAAAGTTGTTGGAGAAATGATGAGTGCTGCAGAGTAGAACTAACGAGAAGTAAGCAGAGTGACAGGGTCAAACGTGGAGCAGCCGCCCTCTTCCCCCCCCCCCCCCCCCCCCCCCCCCCCCCCCCCCCCCCCCCACCCCC